GCTGGGGTCACTCAAACCCCCAGAACTGAGCCTCTACTTTAGTCAATCCTCTTTGGAGTGAAGCATCGATTTATGTCGTCCATGACGTCCATGACCCATTCACTATTGACGTTGACACTTGCTCCAACGGTGAAACATCAAGAAAAGGGGTGTTTCCGAAGCAATATCGAATAATTCCATCGTTTTTCACCTCCGTGAGCATTCCAACAAGGTAAACAGCATTTTATTCTCCCCACAACATCCAGAAAGTCAGAGATTTTTTTCCTCACAATTTTGGTGAACCTACACTCAAGATTTATCGGAGTTTTCAGGTTAATTTAACTCTGTATCCAATTAACGCAACACCACTGCAGTATTCTCTTTAATTTTTTAATTAATTATTTCTCATTTCTTATTCCTCTAGAAATAATCCAAAAATCAAGTCCCAGAATTGCGAGGTAAATTATTAATTATTTATTTACTTGTATTCATTGATTCAGATTAAACAATGGACGGTTTCGGTGATAATTTCACCAACGATAATGAGATTGACCCAGCAGCAGAGTTCCTGGCACGAGAACAGGATCAATTGGCTGGTCTAGAGGATGAAATTCCCCCAGTGGCTATGAACACATCAGCAGCAGCTCCAGCAACAACTGACGGTAAGGGAACTGGGAAATCAGTTTGTACTAAAATTCCAGTCAACAGAATATGAGAAAGTATTAAAATTGTGGACAACACAAGTTGTTTCCCACAAATCCTCTGCAGAGGAAAAATTTGCACGCATATTTCACAATGATCCTCGTTCATTCAGTTTTTCTCATTTATGGTTGATTTCATTTAGTTTTTCTTTGTTGGTTAAATTTATTTTCATTCTCTTATCACCAACGATAGATGATTTATCTGGAAACTTTGAAAATATGACAATCGAGTCCGGTGGAAATGGCACTGGAAGTTTCGAGATGATAAATACCATCGAGCAGCCAACTGATTCAGAGTTTTCAGCATCAGGTGACTCGTCGAAATATTTATTTTATTTATGAAATTTTGTTTATGATTATTTTGGTGTTTGGGAGTTGTTTCTGACTGTCGGTGTTTTTCTCAGAGCCTGCACCAGCTGCCTCACTGCCCAGGGAGGAGCCTGAAAAAATTAAAAAGTGGAGGGAAGAACAAGCAGCTCGACTTGAGGAGAAAGGTATGATCTACATGCCTTATTTTTTTTATTCTACTCGTGTATATCCAATAATTGGAATTGAAGGAGAAAAACAAGAGAAAACAAAAGAAAGGCCTTATTAATTGTGTTAATTAACATATTGATACAGATGCTGAGGAGGAAACAAAGAAGGAGGAGTGGAGAGAAGCTGCCAAAAAAGAATTGGACGAGTGGTACAAACATCACGCCGAGGCGACCAGTAAAACAAAGGCTACAAACAGGTAAGTGCATTCAAACGAAAAAATATTCTTGCAAATTTGTTATTTTGCCTACCTCACTCCCATTGAATTTCAATTTCCTTATTTGTGTCAAGCCAATGTTGTGGAGCTAAAAAGGCAATTAAGCAATTTAATTATATAATATATGAGTCAAAATATCGGCAATATATATTGAGCCAATCGCGATTTTATATTATAAAATTTTAATACAAAGAGAAAAATCTATTATTCTCATTCTGCTTCTTAGGGAATCAGCCAAGTAAGTTTTTGAATTATTATACAATTATAATCACAATAAGCATGTCAATGCGATTTAAAAGCATTGAAATTACTCGAGTAAATGAAGAATTTACACAATGCACCGCAGACTCTAAAGCAGCTAGGAGTTATCACAATAATCCACATGAAGATAAATTTATAAAACATTAGGAAGTAGTTTTCGAAAATATCTCAGTCGAGATACATTCGATGTTTCTCATCACAATCTAATACACAGCGCTTCTGTCGATGAATAATTGAAGTTTTGTACAACGCTTATCTCCATGGAATAACTGATTCAAATCAATATCAATCGATAAATAATTGAAGGAAGCGTAGGAGAGCTTCATTAAGACAAGGAGAACGCTTGGCAAATCGTGCGCATGCCAATTAGAACAACAAACAAAACAAACATTCTTCTCCAAAAAATTAAAAATGAAATTTCAATAATTGGCTAAATAAATTGGAAAATAAAAAATTGTTATTCAGATTTTTTTGAGAAGAACAGCTGCTTATACGTTTCTCACACATCACAAACGCTACACTAATTATTTTTTTATTTCTTTGTAATACGAAAACAATTAGAAATGTAGTAAAATGCCTCTGCATTTGCGGCATGAAGAATAAACGCAGAAACAAAGCATCTTGAATCATAACGAAAAAAAACCCCATGACATTGATTAGGAATGCTGAGAAGCAGTTTGTCGCTGAAGCTGACGAAGTGGAGCCGGGGACCGAGTGGGAGCGTATCGCGAAACTGTGCGATTTCAATCCAAAATCATCGAGAACATCCAAGGACGTCTCCAGGATGCGTTCAATAATTCTCCAACTGAAGCAGACACCACCACCAACCACGTCCATCAACGCTTGATCACGTTAATTACCATTTTTCGAAATAATAAATTCATACT